GGAGAAATTGAGAAGTTTTACATGGAGCTGGAGAAGTTCTATAAAGAAGACCACACCTTCTACAAGATCATTGTGGGTGATTTTAATGCCAAGATAGGACCGAGAAGATCAGCTGAAGAATCTCACATCGGGACCCATGGCCTAGAATGGAACGAACAGGGTGAGAGACTGTCTGAGTTCATCATGTCAACCAAGACCATCCATGGTAACTCACAGTTCCAGAAGGCCGAATCTAAACGTTGGACATGGGAATCTCCTGGTGGACGTTTCCACAACAAAATAGACCACATCATATTCAATCGACAGTTTTGCCTGACTGATGTCGCTGTTGTCCCAAAATTCCAAACGGGATCGGACCACCGTCTCCTTTGTGAAAAATTCTACTTCACAGAGCGGGGAGAAAGGGCTGCAAAGTTTAAAAAGAGAACTCCCAGAACGACCACCAACTGGGAGCTCTTTGGCACTATTGCGGCAACATGGGAAGATGCCATTGTTGACAACATTGATGAGGAATACGATCGACTGGTTCAGCACCTCCATGATTGTGCAAGGAATGCTGAGAGAGATAACCACAAAAAAAAAAAAAACGCCTGCCTTCAAAAACTCTTGAGCTTATTCGCCAACGTGGTTTGGCGCATGCCTCAGGCAACCGCAAGCGAACATCCAAGCTTGCAAGCAGTGCAGAGATGCGATCAAGGAAGACCTCAAAGAGAGAAGAGCAGAAGTGCTGGTAGATGCGGCAGAAGCCGGGAAAAGTATTTGTAATGCCTGCCTGTCCTTCGCCAACTACAAGACCAAGATGACTGCCCTCCGACGTTCTGATGGATCCATCACATCTTCCAGAATGTCAATGGAGAAGATTATCCATGACTTCTACTCAAATCTCTTTGATAGCCATGTCCACTTGCCAACATACCAAATTCCACAGGATGGATATGTCATTCCCAATGTTCTCCCTTCCAAAAATCTGGCACGCCATTTCATCAGTAAAGAAACGAACAGCACCCGGCCCAGACAAGGTCAGACCTGAACACCTGAAGAACCTGCTGTCAGTACTCATCTATACGCTGGCTTGGCTCTTCACACGCTACCTGTCTGAATGTAAGGTTCCATCCCAATGGAAAACCAGTAGGACTGTACTACTGTACAAGAAAGGAGACATCCATGACATTGGCAACTGTCGCCCGATCTGCCTATTGTCTGTCATCTATAAGTTGTTCACTCGAGTCATCCTAAATAAGATTGGCAGAACACTAGATGACGGACAACCATGCGAGCAAGCCGGGTTCCACAAAGGATTTAGCACCATCGACCATATCCACACAAGAACCAAGCTCATTGAGGTTTCTCGGGAGTTCAAGATGCCTCTCTGTCTAACGTTCATTGATTTAAAGAAGGCCTTTGATTCTGTTGAGATGGAAGCGGTCATTGAAGCCCTAGCCAATCAGGGCGTACAATCTCAATACATCAAGATCCTCCGTGAACTGTACTACGGATTCACTACCAGGATCTCACCATTCTACAAAGAAGTAATCATTGATGTCAAGAGAGGGGTTTGGCAGGGTGATACCAAGTGATCAAGTTTTCTAATAAATTATAGACATAAACTAACTTTTTACTGACTCTGCTTCCCTGAGCTTCCACCTCCCTCTGGGTTCTCTCTGCAGCATGATCAATGTGACCCTGGGCACCCACAACATCAAAGAGAAGGAGGAGAGTCAGCAGGTGATCCCCGTGAGAAGAGCCATCCCTCACCCCAACTACAATACTAAGAACTACTCTAACGACATCATGTTGCTGAAGGTGAGGAGGCAGGTGTTCTGTTCACCTGCGTCCACTCAGAGCTGCGTCTTCCCTGCTCCCATTCTTCCTCCTTGTCCCCAGGCCTCTTTGGGAAAGGAAGACTAGGCACCCCATAGGGGCGTCAGGCCAGGGGACACAGGCTGAGCAGGACCCGCTCTCACTTCCCCATAGCTGAAGAGAAACGCCAAGATGACTAAGGATGTGAAGCCCCTCATCCTGCCTGGGCCCAGGAACAAGCTGCGGCCAGGCCAGGTGCGCATTGCCCTTGGCTGGAGGAAGATGGCCACCTGGGAAAGATTTCCTGAGAAGCTGCAGGAGGTGGAGCTGAAGGTGCAGGCAGATGAGGAGTGTGAATCCAAGTTTAAAGATCATTACAGCGCCAACACTCAGCTGTGCATGGGGGATCCCAAGATAAAAAAAGGCCACATTTAAGGTGAGACTGGAGAATGCAGAGCTTGACCTTGGGGCTAGGCTGATCGGGAGGTGCAGAAAACCAGGCAGTGGGGACTGCTCACTCTCAGAGGTGTTTCCCAGTGAGGGGGCACCTACTGGGGAGAAGCTGGGTCTCTGCCAGCCTCCAAAGCCTTGTGGGAAATATTCAGAGTCTCCCAGGGAGGACCCCAGACTCTGGATACAGCCTGGGGTGTCCGAAATCACCCATTAAGGACAGTCAGAGTTGGTTCCACCAGTGTCTGATGGACCCTCTAAGTGTTACCCACAGCCCTTTCTCAGGACAAACAGGTGAGCGCCAACAGGAGTGATTCCTGAGTGCAGAGCTAGGAGTAACACCTGTGCATTGCCGGGTGTGACCCAAAAAGCAAAATAAATAAATAAATAAATAAATATTTGATCACCTAGTATCTTGTTGCCTACCTTTTATTGTCTTTAAATTTTATTATTATTTTGTTGAGCCAGAGTGATAGCATAGTGGATAGGGCATTTGCCTTGCATGTGGCCGACACGGGTTTGATTCCTCTGCCCCTCTCAGAGAGTCCGGCAAGCTACCTAGAGTATCCTGCTAGCATGGCAAAGCCTGGCAAGCTACCTGTGGCATATTCGATATGCCAAACACAGTAACAAGAAGTTTCACAATGCAGATGTTACTGGTGCCTGCTTGAGCAAATCGATAAACAATGGGAGGACAGTGACAGGGATCCTAGAATTTACAGTATGTATCAGTCCCTAAGATGCACTTATTTTGGGTAAAAGTCACATATTCCTTTTACGTTTTCTCTTCCTTCCTTTCTTTTCTTTTTTCTTTCCTTTTCTTTTCTTTCTTTCCTTCCCCTCCCTCCTTCCCTCTTTCTTTCTCTCTCTCTCTCTCTCTATCTCTATCTCTATCTTTCTTTCACAGGGGGACATACCCAGTGGTGATCAGGGGTTTCTCCTGGCTTTGAGCTCAGAAATTACTCCTGATGGGACTCAGGGAGCCATATGGGATGCCCAGGACTGTACCTGGGTCAGTCAAATGCCCTACCCATTGTACTATCGCTGCGGCCCAAGACCCTTTATAGTTTCTTTGCAAATTCTTTCTCCAACTTATCTACAATATCAATTCAAAACTAAGGAATTCTATTACATAAATAATGTATGTTCAATAAAAGTAGTTCAGAAAGTGTAACTAAGCAGGGAAGTTAAAATTGCCTGAAAAATTATCACCCAAATGATAGATTTAGTTTAAATTCTGACTTTGTTAGCTATTTTCTTCATGGCCTTCAGTGAATCTTGACTTCCTTTTTCTGAAATTAATTGTTGGGGCTCTTGGCCAGATCTGTTCCCCCCATGCTTCCCCTGGCCAGTGCCTGAGTCTCTAAACATTCTTCACCACCTTTCTTGCTGTGGCATCTTCAGACTCCTCACCACCACCTAGCAAACACTCACTGCTGCTGAGTCTCTGGTTTGTGGCTCATGGCCTGGGGGTGGAGGGGGCTGGAAAATTGAAGGAGCAGTGAAGAGTGGGTGAAGGCTGCTCAGCTGGTGGGCCAGTCACAAGACTCGGTGATGCAAGTCATGCTGGCTTGGAGCACGTGACTTGGATGTGCGTAACCGGGGAGGCAGATCAGTGGGTAGAAGGTCAGTGTGGAAGGGCATCTCTGCTCCTGGCACAGCAGACCAGCGACAATCATCCTGAGAACTGGGGGAGGTCAGCATAGTCTGTGCCTCTGCTTGAGAACCAACCCAGTGCTGCCACTGATTAGGGAGAAGCGGGACGAGATGAATGCTGCCTGGGCCCAGCAGTGATCCCTAAGTACAGAGCCAGGAGTAAACCCTAAACACTGCAAATAAAGTGGATGGATGGTTGGATGTAGGGGCCAGCTAGATAGTATAGGGTTAATGTGCTTGCTTTATGTGGGACTGACCCTAGTTTGGTCCCTGGCACCATATATAGTCCACTGGGTGCTGCTAGGGGTCATTCCTGATCACAGAGCCAAGAATAACCCCTGAGTACCAAAAGGTGCCCCCACCTCCAAAGAAAAAAAGTGGCTGAATGTTCCAGAGCGATGGTTCCTTGGGCTGAGCAGCCTTTGCATTCAGGATCCCTGGAATGGATCCCTGGCACTGCATAGTCCCATGAGCACTGCTGGGAGAGACTTCCCCTCCCAGCACTGAGCCCCGAGGAGCCCCTGAGCACTGTGAGGTGCGACCCCCAAATTAAAGAATAAATAAATCAGCAACCCAAACTGAAACAAAATTAAATCAAATGAAAGTGGCTCCTTGCCATGGATGTCTCGGAGACCGTGAGGCTTCCAGGGACGTAGATATCTGAGGTGCAATCTCAGGAGGAAGAGGGGAGGAAAGAGTGAAGCCCCCAAGTAGAGGGGAAGTTTCTCCCCCTACCAATGGCAGCCTGCCCCCTCTCTTCTCCTCTGACTATGAGGGTCTGCGGGGCTGAAGTCCTCACCACTCTCTTCACCCCAGACCGGTTCCCCCTTCTCTGTCATCTGTGTGCATGCCCCTCCACTCCCAGAGACCCCGCCGTCCACAGCACAACCCTGCCATCTGGCTGATGCTCACTAAGTCCATCTCACTCACTCAAGGCCTCTATACCTTCTAGTTTCTACCTCTGGATGAGGAGAAATGAAGGAATGAATGATGGAGTGACCAGAGCTTTTGCCTTGGGGGACAGAAATGACACCCCAGCACCCTTCTCCAGCTGTGCCAGACTCCCCTTGCCCCAGGCGCCTCCCAGTACCCACCTCCTCCTCGGTCTTAGAGTACTCCTTCACTCTCTCCACAGACACGATGTTGGAATCCAAATCTGACATCATTCGGATCATCAAGTTCAGAGAAAATATCACCTGGAGTGACAATACAGCGTTTAGGGTGTTTGCCTTGCATGCAGACAATCTGGGTTCGAGCCCTGGCATCCCGTATAATCCCCCAAGCACTGCCAGGAGTAATCCCTGACTGCAGAGCCAGGAGTAACCCCTGAGCATCGCTGGGTATGACCTCCAAAAAAAACAAACAAATTAAAAAATAATAATAATAGGGTTGGAGAGATGGTAAAGTGTTCGCCTTGCATACAGACAAACTAGGTGAACAACCCAGGTTTGGACAACCCAGGTTTGGCAATCCATGGTCCCCTGAGTACTGCCAGAAGGGATTCCTAAGTGCAGAGCTAGGTGTAACCCCTGAGTATCATAACACATAAGCAAAACTACAACAATGACTGTCACTGTCACTGTCCTCCTGTTGTTCATCGATTTTCTCGAGTGGACCCAGTAACGTCTCCATTGTGTGACTTTGTTGTTACTGTGTTTGGCATATCAAATATGTCACGGGTAGCTTGCCAGGCTTTGTTGTGCGGGCAAGATGCTCTCAGTAGCTTTCCGGGCTCTCTGAGAGGGGCAGAGGAATCGAACCTGGGTCAGCCGGGTTGGTTGCATGCTAAGGCAAACGCCCTTCCCACTGTGCTATCGCTCCAACCAAAAACAATGACAGCAAAAAGAAATTATGATCCATTTTAGGACAATCCCATTGCAGTGACTTGTCCTCCTATAGGCTGCCGTGGGCAGAATGGTTCCACCTGTCCTTGGGACCAATCTCCATGTCTCCAACAAGATGATTCTTATGAAACCCCTTTCCTCCCCAAAGACACATTCCCCTTGCATTACAATCACTAGAGGGGGGTGAAAGTCTCCACGCTGGCTGTGAGCTCCACACCGGCAGTGGCCCAATGGCCCAGGTTTCTGTCTCTGTGGTGGTCCTGCTCAAGACCTTCTCACCTGTAGTGCATAGGACACAGAGAGGCCCACCATCCCTGGACTCAGGGAGCTTTTCCCAACCACAGCGAAGAGAGCAGAAAAGAACACGATGCAGTTTCCCATGAACTCCAGCCGGACCGCCAGCCACCTGTGGGCCCAGACAAGAAGGTGGTGGTGGGGTGGGGTGGCAAAGGGGCCAGAACCCAGAACACCAGGGGTCCTGCACAGAGTCTGCCCTGGTGGGAGGAGGGGGGAGCTCCTGACCGGTTAGAGACATAGTTGGGGTAACAGCTCCTCTGGTTGGTATCCACCTTCAAGTCACTCTTGGCCACAAAGTCCTGGCTGCGGCCAAAGGCCCGGATGACGCTGGTGCCTGTCACTGTCTCCGAGAAGTGGGAGAAGATGGGCGAGCGGCTGACGGATTCCAGCCGCTTCAGCTGCCGGGATGTGGCCACATAGAAGCGCTGGTGGAGGGTGGAGAGAGCTGGGGAGCAGGACCTGGGAAACCCTGCCTCGGTCCTGCTTATCCTCTGAACCCTTCCACGGCCCCACTCTGCCACCCTCCTAGCCCGCCCTGTGTCCCCAGGATAACTTGCCCCCTTCCCCTTCTTGTAAGATCCAAGACTTAGGGTGCTGATGGAGCTCCGTGAATTCAACCCATACTTTCCTTCCGGCCAGATCTGCTCAGTTTCCCAGGCCTTATCCTCCAGGAAGCCTCTCCTGGATGGCTGCTCAGTTCATGCATGACCTCTCAGCCTCAGGAGACAGGGGAAGATGGTTTCCAGTCCTCCCCTTGCTTGACCTAAGTCAGGAAGATGCCTATCTCCATGTAGGGGTGCCAGTAATATATTCACCCTAGCTTTTGTTTATTTTTTTTTTTTTTACAAAATTTGCAAAAACAGGGAACGGAGTGATAGTATAGCTATTTTCCTTGCACTTGGCTGGGTTCAATTCCTGGCATCCCATATAGTCCCCCGTACACTGCCAGGAGTAATTCCCGGTGAAGAGCCAGGAGTAACCCTTGAGCATCACCGAGTGTCACCCCCCCCAAAAAAAATTACAAATAGCTTTGTATCTTTTGCTGGTTCCCATCACTCTCATTGCTCCTGCATCAATGCCCAGGGGTTACATACATGCTCAGTCACACTTTCGGTTGCGGTGTTTGTGCATGTGCTCCCTGTCACTGTCCAAAGAGTTGCACTCTTGCTGGCAGTGCTCAATGGTGGTACCCTGGCTGCGCACAATGGCAAGTGCATACCTCATTTTGGAAGTTTGGGCCACACCTGGTGCTACTCAAGGGCTGTCTCCATGATCATTCCCAGTGCTGCTCCAGGGACCATAAATGATGTGTCAGGGGTTGAACCTGGATCAGCCGCATGCAAGGTCAGCACCATAACCCCTGAACTTCTTCTTCGACCCCAGTGGCACACTTTAGTGTGACTTACTGTTTGGGTGGACACGCTATGCTGTGGGGCAAGGGTCCCAAACAGCAGAGATGCTGTGGGACACTCAGAAAATGGGCAGCATCAGGGGTCAAACTTGAAGTCAAACGATGCCATGAAGCAGGAGAGAGTACAGCGCTGGCCATGCACACAGGCAACCCTGGCTTAAGTCCCAGCACCACATATGGATCGCTGTGGCCCTCCTGGAATGGTCCGTAAGCACAGAGACATCAGGTATGACCCAAAACCAAACTAAACAAACTTGCAGCCTTATGCTTGCAGAGCAGGCACTTTTTGCCACTGAGCCATTCCTGGGTTTTCATTATCACTTGTATCACTTGACATCCTGTTGCTCATCGATTTGCTCGGGCTGACACCAGTAATGTCTCCATTCATCCCTGTGGCGTGGTAGTGTAGCCCAATGGCATCTGCTTGCTCATTTTCAGTATATATAACATATATATATATATTTACAGATAATTCTGGATTTTTTTTTGTAATTTTGGGGGTTTGTTTTCAAACCTGCTTTGGTCATGCGCAAAGCAAGCATTCTATCCACTATACTATCTCTCTAGCCCCTGTTTTCACACTCTTTTAAAAAATAAGCTTCATTTTAAATTATTTGTTGGTGGGCAACCCCAGCTGTGCTCAAAGCTTACCCCCAGCTCTGCACTCAGGGAGTATTTCTGAGAGTGCTCAGGGGACCACATAGGATGCTGAGGATGTACCCTACCCGTTACACTATCTCTCCAGCTTTTAAATCTTTGCATATTTGCATAATCTTCATCTTTTATTATCCTTTTTATTAGGGGGGTGGCATACTCAGTGGTGCTCAGGGCTTACTCCTGGCTCTGTTCTCAAGGCTTACTCCTGACAGAACACAGAGGACCATATGAGGTGACTGAACTTGGGTCAGCGACATGCAAGGCAAGTGCTATACCCACTGTGCTATCGCTCTAACCCTACATCTTTTTTTTAAATAGCTTCCCACCACCCCGTGTTTAAATGTCATCTTCATTCAGCTGGAGCTTCAGCTCCTATTCCTTGTCTTGTGAGACAACCAGGGCCATCCTGCATGCGGTCTGCAAGTCTCTGTGCTACCACCACATAGCCCAGAACAGAGGTGGGGGTGGGGTGAGGGTTGGAAGGGGGGTGGGGAGCCATACAGGGGCCGAGCTTCCATCCACCTCAGGATGACCTGCTTCAAGGGACTGATTCATAGAGAAAAAAGGTGCAGTAAGACAAAATCTTACGGTTGGCTGTATCTGAATGTGATCAACCCCTCTGTTAAAGACATACATACACATAATATTTCAGATATGTTTAAAGAGAAGCCAAGGATAATCTGTCTCAAAGCATTCACATTGACTGGAGACTGAGCAAAGAGTTCCAGGACCAGTCATAGTTCATCAGGATTTCATTCTATTTTTGTTTTGGGGCCACACCCAGCAGTGCTCAGGGTTGTTTCAGTGATGATTGGGGATTGAAGCCAGGCCTCCAGCCTGTGTTCAGCCCTTTAAGCTATCTCTCCAGCCCTGATAAGGGCTTTGCTTTACCCTGGAAACAAGCCAGTTCTACTTTCCAGATGAGGAGAACGAATTTTCAGAAAGGGACAGCCAGGTCTATCACCCTCGACAAAACACAGCTGCCAGGCATGAGTTTGACCAGTCTGTGTTCTGCCCATACAGATTCAGGCCCAGGAAGGCCACGCCCCAGTAAAAACCACATCCAATGAGGCCACGCCCAGCAAACCACGCCCCCAACAAAGCCACGCCCCGGCATACCAGGCCCAGCAAAGCCACGCCCCCATTAAATTCCTTGCCCCAGTAAAACCACGACTCCGACCTCTGCTGTTCACCTGCACCCAGAAGTAGATCCCAGCCAGGGGCAGGATGACCACAGCGAAGAGCGGCGTGCTGGCTATGACGACCACAACGATCGAGAGGGAGTTGAAGGTGGTATTGAGCAGCGTGAGGATGGTGAGCCCCAGGACGTCGTCCAGAATTTGGATGTCCTTGGCGAAGCGGTTGATGATTCGGCCAGAGGGCGTGGTGTCAAAGAAGGACTGGGGTGAGCGCATCTTGTTGTGCAGCATCGCCTGGTGGAGCGAGCGTGCCGCCTGGACGGTGCCCATCAATATCGTGAAGGACACCAGCAACACCAGGATCCCTGGAGGAGCAGAGGGCCTGTGGCTTTCCTGGAGGGGGGAGGGGCACGGGGTCTGCAGGGAGGGGTTTCCGGGTACTGGGGAGCCCCAGGTGGGCACTGATTGCAATAGAGACCCAGAGGAGGGGAAGTCCTGGGCCTAGGCAAGAGCTGGGATGGGCGCAAAAGACTCAGAGGTAAGTGCCTGATTGGGGGCACCCTGCCGCCCAGCAGTGAGGAAATGGCCAGGGGCCGCCTGAAGGTAACTGGGCTCACCCTGCAGGAAGCCCAGTGTGGTGTAGACGCCCAGCCTCACAAAAGTGCTGTGCTGCGTGCTGTTCTGCTGACCGCCTTGTGTAGCTTCATTGGTCCAGTCACTGAGCCACACATTGGCCCCGATGCTAGCCGCATTTTGAGCGGCACAGAAAACACAGGCGGCAAGTGTGGTCCAGGGCCCCATGGCCTTGGCGTAGTCCACAAACACACTCAGCTTCACCTGCATGGCCATAGTGGTCAGGGACAGAGGAGTCCCAGGGCCCCCGACCCCCGAGGGGGCCTGCTCCCCTTCTGCAGCCCACCCCGCTTGCCCTGCTCACCGTGCCCGTCTCCACCTTCTCCTCCTGGGTCAGCACCCCACTCGCCTTCGCCTTTGTGGGCTGTGCTACCTTCTCCGGGGGTCTCGGGCATCTATGGGTCAGAGATGGCTGACCCGGGGCCTGCCCGCCGTCTGAGGACAGGGCACTCTGCTGTCTGTGGAGGCAGCTTGTCAAGTTCTGAGGGGAGGCTTTTGGGAAGCCCCCAGACCAGGAGCGCAGGAGGAGAACCTTCACCTGTACCTCACCTGGGAGAGCTGGAAGAGCCCCGATGCAGGCACTCACCTCGCAAGTGGCATCTGAGCCTTGCACCCCGAGAGCTGGTTATCTGTTGGGTCTGTGTGATTTCTGAGTGTGTCTTCATTCAGTGGCACCTCCTTGTCCTCTGCTTCCTCTAAGGAGGCAGTGCAGTGAGAGGAAGGAGACAGGTCAGTCAGCTCATCCGCCAACCTCCTACCACCTCTGAACTCCACCCCAAAGGCAGGGACAAGCATGAGAGAGACAGGAAAGAGTGAAGATGAGAACAAGGATAACAACAATACAATTATTTGTGTGTGTGTGTGTGTGTGTGTGTGTGTGTGTGTGTGTGAGATTTGGGACACACCCAGCGGTGCTCAGGGGCTATTCCTGGCTCAGGCTCTGTACTTAGGAATGACCGCTATGCAATATTCCGGGAAACCCATGCAGTGCTGGGGATTTGAACTTGGGCTGGCAGCATGCAAGGCAAGCACATTATGTCTGTTCCATTTCTTTGGCTCTAAATGGCCCCAAAGAGGTGGCAAGAGCTAAGTTCAATAGCAAGACATACTTCCCATCAGGACTGGGAAGAAGGGAATGCCTGGAGAAGGGTCAGGGTAGGGGCTCAGCCTGACTGAGCTTCCAACCCACTGTCTCACTGCATGACATCAACAGTGTGTGCAATGGGGGAAAACAGCCTCAATGTCAGTGTGTTATTGTGGGAACTGAAGAAAAGAATGTGAGATAAGTGCCCGGCAAGGGGCACCTTATGATTCTCAAGACTTGCCACTGCGTATGGGGCAGGAGGCAAATCCAGGGAAAGGCCTATGGGTCAGCCTGAGTTTGGGGCTTTAGGCCTGGAACTGGATCACACAGAGGATCTCTAACATCCAGAGACTTTGCCCCACTCTCCTCCCCAGGCCTTGCGTGCTACTCATTGATCAACCTCAACATCAGTACTGGTTCCCATAGAAATCATCAAAAATTGTTGTTGATACATAAGTTTCCTAAGAACTTGCATATCTGCCCAGCGACTTCTCTGTGACACACCCTTTGTGGTACAAGCTGGAGCCAGGCCTGGCTGGGTGCACCAGAGGCCACACCCTGCCCAACTGCTGGGAGACTAGCCAGTGAGGGCAGGGGAGGGGCTCACTCAGCCCGTCTGCTCTCCTTAGTGATGGCCGTCCATCAAGAAGATGACCCAAGGGTCCCCGCACCTCCCGGGACATACTGTGTCTGCCCTGAGACACTCAGAGGTTCCCAAACAAGCACGATGCTGGAAAGGCTGGGGCTGGGCATACCGATCCTACTGTCCGTCTGCTGCTCCTCCTCGGGCACATAGCTGTGCAGGAAGTTGGCCAAGGAGCCATGGCTCTGCAGCAGGGTGGAGTAGGAACCCACCTCCAATACCTGCCCGTGGGCCAGCACGATGATCAAGTCCATCTGGGGCAGGAAGCTGAGGCCGTGTGTCACCAGCACCCGGGTCTGGGCAGAGATGGTAGGGGATTGGCTCCCATTGTTCTGCAGCACGCAGCCCGACACTGCACAGCCAGCACCAGGGGGCCAAGGAGCACGAAGAAGCACCCCCGTGATACCCCCGCTGCCCCCACCTCCTGTATCTGGCTCAGCGTCTTTAAGCTTAGCACCCCGATCTTCCTGAAGTTTACCTCCAGTTCCCCTTGGCACCCCGCAGCCCTCACCTTGTTGGCCAGCAGCCCTTCAGGCCCGATGACTCGGTCAAAGATATGCTTGGCCACATGGGCATCCACGGCCGACAGCGGGTCGTCCAGCAGGAAGACGTCAGCGTCGCTGTAAACAGCTCGGGCCAGGCTGATCCGCTGCTTCTGGCCCCCCGACAGGTTGATGCCCTGCACCAAGTGGGGCAGGATTGGGTCAGAGGGAGGTAGGCAGGCAGGGCAGGGAGAGCAGGGACAGGCTTGTCTCCTGTCCTGAGCAAAGCAGACTTCCAAGGGCATGCTTTGTCCTGGCCACAGAGAAGAGTAGGAGGGTCTGAGGCCTCTCCCCCACTCCCCCCCCCCCACATCCCCCCACCCCTTGCCCCCACCCCGTACCCTGCACATTTCTCTGATGCTTTTTTTCTTTTTTGGTTGATTGGCTTTGGGGTCACATCCAGAGGCGCTCAGGGATCACTCCTGGTGGGATTGGGGGACCATATGGGGTGCCAGGGAAGGAATCCAGGTGGGCGGCATGCAAGTCAAATGCCCTACGCACTAATGGAAACATCTGAAATATGGTGGTGGGATTGGTGTTTGAATATTAAATGTAATAAAATATTATGAATTATTTTATGAAATAAAAAAAGAAAAAAAAAGAACCCCCTCCTAAAAATATGCCCTCCGCACTGTATTGGGTCTCCAACCCCTGCATCCTTTTATTTTATTTTGGGTTTTTGGGGATCTCAGAGATCACTTCTAGGGGTGCTGGGGATTGAATACAAGTTGGCTGCATATAAGGCAAGTGCCTTAACACCTGTGTTCTCTCTCCAGCCCTCTGCTGCTATCTTTACTCTCTGGGAAGTTGGGGGACCCACCCCCACCATTGCTGCCGCCACCTCCTCCCAGACCATTTAGCTCCCGCCTCCCACACTGTTTACAGCCTACTTTCATCACGACAAACCCACGTGGTCTACATGTCACTCCTTCTCAGGAGGAATCAGTGGGTCCCACTTTCTGGAAGAAGAAATGACACCCCAAGAAGTTGGTGACTTTGTCCAAAGTCCAAAACTACCAAGGGCCAAAGCAAGGACCCAAATACAGCCACAAACCCAGAATTCAACTCAGCAGTCCTGAGATGATTCATTCATCAAAGGAGAGGGAATGTGTCTTCTGAGACCCATAGTGGGAAAACTGAGGCACACAGCAACAGGGTGAGGCCCAGAAGGCAGACATCAGGTCATGACCTGCTCTTTTCTACCACCAACATTCCTTCTAGAACAGAAGGTGATGGGGGGGAGGTGGGAGGCTTGCACCCTGTGAGAATGAACCAGGGGAGAGTCAGTGGGTGAGGGCAGATGGGGAGGGCAGGGGGCACGTGCTGCACAATTTCTGTTATTATTGGTTCAGTGCCATACTGGGAAGTATTGAGAGTTTATTCCTGGCTCTGTGCTCAGTGGTCACTCCTGGTGGGGCTCAGGGGACCATATGGTGATGTGTATCAAAACAAGGTTGCCTCTCCCCGCATCTCCCTGTGTTTCCGATAATTTGGCAGTCAGGTCCACAAACTGCCTCTGACGCCATAGAATCTCGTTAACGTCTGTCCAAGATCCGACTCAGAAATAAATATCTCAGAAGAGAGCAACGCAGAACCGCATGCCGCAGAGATGTCTCCAGACCCCATGCCAGGCTGTCTCATCCAGGGCAACCTGGAGGCGAGCAGGTGAGTTTCCCTCCTCACCCTAACAGAGTTCCAGCAGCTGAAAACCTCCAGAACTCAATCGATGCCATGCTCACGGCTGTATATATATGCATGAAGACAAGCCTCAACTTTTTAGTAATATCTTATAGAAGGGCTTAATGGCCCCTGGGTGAAATACAACAATCTTCACACACTTTCCTCTAAGGAAAATTTTTTGGATCATTTTTAGTAGATTATTCATAATAGCAATACAAAATAAATTATTTCAGTTCTGCTTTGGGAGCAGGGCTTGGAGTTTGGGGTGGAAACGTTCAAAGTATGGTGGTGGGAAGGTGTAATGGTTGTGGGATTGGTGTTCGAATCTTAAATGTAATAAATTATTGTGAACAACTTTATAGAAATAAAATTAAACAAAACAAAACAAAGAAAAACAAGTTTGCCTATACTCAAGGCAAGTGCCCTGCCCCTGTGCTGTCTCTCTGAACCCAGAGAGAAAAAGCTTTTATTTTATTTTTTATTGTTTTTGCTTTTTGGGTCACACCCGGAAATGCACAGGGATTACTCCTGACTCATGCACTCAGGAATCACTCCTGGTGGTGCTCAGGGGACCATATAGGATGCTGGGAATCGAACCTAGGTCGGCCATGTGCAAGGCAAACGCCCTACCCGCTGTGCTATTGCTCCAGCCCCGAAAAATCTTTTATTTTAAAATTTGTTTTATTCCCACATGGTGCTTTGGAGGCCCAGGGGCACCCCATCTGGATTGGCAATTGAATGCAAGAGTCTGGGGTGCTTCCTTAGGTCCTGTGGTATGGGGACTTACCCAGGCACCCCCAAGCGGTACTTGGAAGCCTCCAGGAATGTTCCTGGTCATGCTCAGGGGACCAGGTTGGTGTTGGGGGATCAAATTGGGGCCGGCCACACATGAGCCAAGCACCCTAAACTCCTATGCTATTTCTCTGACCCCCGGAGGCCCATATGTTTGGTAGCGCTTGGAGTCCAGGTCTCCAGGCTGCCTTGCTCTCTGCCCTCCATCCTCCTCATCCGAAATCATTCCAGACTGCTCCCTGTTCTTCAGTTTCCACCCCAGGGCCTTTCCAGTTCCTGAGAATAGGCACCATCATCTTTCCGGAAACCAATGAGATCTGGCTGCTCGGTCACTTCACGGGTCTCCCTTCATCCTCCTCAATCAGCCTCCTTCCACTGCAGCCACATGGTCCTGACCAGGCTGGAAATAACCCAGAACTCTCCTGCCTCAAGACCCACACACTCACTGCTCTCCATTTCGATGGGCCTTCTCTGCCCCCGTCCAGGTGCTCTGTCCCCTGACATGGTCCTCCTACCCCCTCTCATATCCAGCACATATTCTGATGGCCTGTCCTGGTCTTATACTGTCCCCCCAAGCACTTACCTAAAGTGTTAAAGGCTTTAGTCATCCCTTTCCCGCCTAGTGCAGGCTAGTCAAAGGCAGTGATTTTAGTTAGTGCTGACCTAGATTAGGAAGGTGATGAAATCCGCTGGCTGGCTGGATAGATTGGGAGTTCATCTTCATCTGTTAAGATCCAGCTTGAAAAGTGATACTTTGGGGCGGAAGTGATAACACAGCGGGTAGGGCGTTTGCCTGGCACGCGGCTGACCCGGGTTCGATTCCCAGCATCCCATATGGTCCCCTGAGCACCGCCAGGAGTGATTCCTGAATGCATGAGCCAGGGGTCACCCCTGTGCATCTCCAGGTGTGACCAAAAAAGAAAAAAAAGTGATACTTTTCTAGAATGGGGAAAGTGGCTCAATGTAGTAAAGCACATGCCTGGCATGTGCAAAGTCATGGGCTCCTGGTACCACAATACTGCATGGCTCCCTGTGCACCACTGGGTATGGCCCCCACAACAACTAGCCTAAACCCCAAACCTGAATTTCTTCCTTTATAGCTCCCCTGCAGCACCCCTCCTGTCTGCAGTGCAGGCCTCTGAGGACATTCAGCATCCCGTACCTGTTCATCGGTCAGCCTCCCCTGGCTGATAGGATTCCCCAGTGGCTAGCACAGAACTAGTCTGATTTTAGATGGGTGAGTGAGTCAACAAGGGAATGAATGAGAGAGTGAATGAATGAATGAGTGAATGAATGAGAAGATGAACAAATGAATGGGGAAATGAAGGAATGAATGAGTGAATGAATGAGTGAAGGGGTTAGTGAAGGATTGAGTGAATGAGTAAAGGGATGAATGAATGAGTGAAAAAATAAGGGAGGGCCTGAATGCATGAGTGAAACAGCGAGGGAGAGAGGGAATAAATGAAGGGGTGAGGGAAAGAGAGAAGCGGGGAGGGAGTGAGTGAATGAAGAATGGGAGTGGCCGAGAGAGGGAGTGAGGGAACAGGCTGGACTGCGGGGGCAGCAGTAAGATCAACGTCCCGGGGGTCGGGAGGGGACACTCTACCTTCTCTCCAATCTCGGTTTGGTCCCCCGCAGGCAGCAGGGCCAGGTCGGGCAGCAGGGCACAGGCCTCCAGGGCCCTTTGGTAGCGCGTGGCGTCCAGGGTGCGGCCAAACAGCACGTTCTCCTGCAGGGTGCTGTTCTGGATCCAGGCCAGCTGGGGCACGTAGGCCACGGCGCCCTTGCCACAGGAGAGATCACTGAGGCTTGCTGCGGGCTTGGCCACGCCATCCTCCCCAGGAGCCCCCAGGCTGTACCTTGACGGACACCTTGCCTTCCAGCTTCTCCATTTCTCCCAGCAAGGCACTAACCAGGGAGGACTTTCCACAGCCCACAGGCCCCACCACGCCCACGAGTGCTCCTGTGGGCACCTGGATATCCACGCTGGGGGCAAGGAGAGCAGAAGCCCCTTCAGAGCCAGTGACCAGATGTTTGGTCACGGGCTTTCCAGCTGGGGCCCAGGCCTCCTCCCTGATGAGCTGAGGCATTTCTTGATTTCCAGGCCAAAGGCAAGAGTGGTGTGTGAATGTGTGTGTGTGTGTGTGTGTGTGAGAGAGAGAGAGAGAGAGAGAGAGAGAGAGAGAGAGAGAGAGAGAGAGAGAAAGAGAGAGAGAAAGAGAAAGAGAAAGGAGAGAGAGAGTGTGTATGTGTAGGGGTATGTGTAGGCACAAATGTGTCTGTAGGGGTGTGTTTGTAGGGGTATGTGTGCAGGGGTGTGAATATGCAGGGATGCGTATGTGCAATAGTGTGTAAGTTCTGGGATGTGTGTGCAGGGGTGTGTGTTCAGGGGTATGTGTGCACAGGCATATATGTGGACTAAGATGTGTGTGCAGGAGTGTGTGTGCAGTCGTGTGTGTGTGTGTAGGGGTATTTGTGCAAGGGTGTGCATGCAGAGGTGCGCGTGCGGGGGGTGTGTGCAGGGGTGTATGCAGGGTTGTATGTGCACAGGGTTGTGTGTGTGTTAGGGTAGAGCTGCCACTGATCTGCGCTTCCACCTCCCTGCACAGTGGAGACGGGAGGGAGGAGCTGTACCTGTGCAGGGTGGGGGGCAGGTCCTGGGCCCAGGTGAAGGTGCCGTGGTCTATGGTGATGGCAAAACCTGGAGGAGCAATACGGGCAGTGTTGGGCTTGGGGGGAGGAGAGCAGGGGCTTAGGGAGAGGAAGGGGAGAGGAGCTCTGAAGGAAGAGGCCCCTGGAAAAAGGAAGTGTGTGGGGGGGGGTCGGAAAGAAGGGACAGGAAGTGTGAGACAGGCACCCCGGAGGCAGGAGAAGAGGGGGTGCACAGAGGGGCACCAAGGCCAAGGAGCCACGGACAGGGGGGAGAAGAGTCAGGAGGCCCCCCCCCCCTGTGGGCAGGGGCGAGGCTTGACCTGGGGAGATGTGCTTCCTCTCCACGCACTGGCCGTCCAGTTCGTCCTGGCTTAGGAAATTCTGGATGCGTTTCAGAGACACGACGCTCTGTGGGGAGGGGGGCGGGGGGCAGGCAAGATCAATTCTGCTCTTCCTGCCCCACATCCCTCTGTCCTTGATGGCCCCTGGGGTCCCTCGCATTGCCAAGGGTAGGGTCCAGGTGGTAAGAAGAGGGGGGTCTCCCCGACCCCGATCTGACCTCCTGACTCCTTGGACAGCCACACATCTGGGGCTTCAAGACACCCCTCCTCTCCTCTGGGGCTTCTGCGTCACCCCTGACCTGATGGGGTGCCCCGTCCAGCAGACGCCCCCAGCCCCCGGTCCCCATTACCTGGATCAGGTAGCTGATCATCTGGGGCAGCATGGTGAGGGGAGTCTTTAGGATATAGAACAGGGACAGGGACACAAAGACCTTCTCGGCATCGAGCACGTGGTTCCGGTCCACCAGCACGTATGTGCCAAGGCTTATCAACGTCACCTGGGCGGGCGGAGTGGGGCGAGGTCAGGGGGTCATGGGCAGGGCCCCAGTCATCCCTGGGTTCCAGGGCAGGGGGGCCTCACCATGAAGGGGGCACAGATCCAGAGGAAGGTGACCATGACTTGCAAGTTGTTGAACCTACGCAGCAGCCGGAGTTCCTCCTTGCGGATCTGCTCCACCTGCGCCGAGAAGCTGGACTCCCAGGCGTAGAACTTCAGCACCTTGATGCCCGCCAGGATCTCATTCATCAGTTTGACGCGCGAGTCCCTGAACTTCATTTGCTCCACCTGCAGCAAGAGTGGCAGTTGGCCTCTCTGGCCCACTCCCCTGTCACCCTCGTACCCAGCCTCACCCCCCGCCCCGCTGGCTCGGGGTGGAGGGTGGCTCTTCTTCCCCTCCTTCCTGGGCTGTGTGTCCCGTCAACTAGGAGTCCCTGAGGCTCCAGATCCCTGGCCTGCTCCCAGATCCGAAGCCCGGGGCATGGCATCCTAAATTCATTCATTCCTCCCAGCGGTGTGGTGCATCTATTCGGCGCTCGGCCTTGTGTGGGAGGTGGGGACATGAGAACCAGTGCCGTCAGGTGGAGGATCTGACAGAGGAGGCAGTTAGGGAGCAAGCGATGACCTGCAGAAGCTCATCACAGACCAGCATGCATGCTCTGAAGAAAACAATGGGGTGGGGGCTGGGAAACCGGGAAGGAGAAAGCAATTCCTGGGAACAGGGTGTGTGGGAACCCAGAGGCAGGAAGAGCCCTTGCTCTGGGGGAGAGACAAGGAGAGACAAGTCAGAGAGGCAGAAACCTGGCCGCAGGCTGGTGGGAGACCAGAATAAGCAGGACCCTCAGGACTTAGACGACTGCCTGTGTACCACAGAGAACGGCTGAGGATGTCAATGAACGTTTGCAAATACAGAATTGGCCAAATATTTCCACTCATCAGAGTGGCGGGAGAAACTCCTTGACACCCCCGGTGCCCCAGATATAGGCCGGAAGCCCCACTCGGCCAGATTTGGGCCAGTCCCTCTGTCTGGGTAGGCCGGGATGTAACCGTTGCTTAGAGCCCCTGGCCTCAGAGACAGGGCAAGTGGGGGGGTAGGAAAGCAAATGGTCACAGTGGTTGTACCCTCCTCTCCAAGTCCCCACATTCTCCCTCCACTCCTTGAGCGCACCCACCTGCAAGGCCCGCATCTTTATGGTAAATGCTCCGTTGAGGGGGATCAGCAAGACCATCAAGGCAAATCCTGCCAGCACGGAGGGGCCCAGGTTCTGAGGAAACGGAGGTCAGTGAATCAGGAGGAGGGAGAGAGAAGTCACGCAGAGAGGCGCAAAGCAAGGCAGGCCAAGGACCTATTGGCCCGCGGAGATGGGCAAGAAGGTCTGCAGTCGGTCAAAGTCAGCAAACAGCGGGTAGGGCATTTGCCTTGCACACGGCCGATCCGGGTTCGATTCCCAGCATCCCATATGGTCCCCTAAGCACCACCAGGAGGAATTCTGAGTGCAGAGCCAGGAGTAACCCCTGAGCATCGCTGGGTGTGACCCCCCCCCCCCCAAAAAAAGTAGAGATTCTGAGAAAGCAAGCAGAACATTAGCCGCGGCTTCCGGATCCAGCAGGCATCAGATGGTGACGGAGACCACAGCAGAGCCCCCGACCCCGAGCTCTCGGCGGGCAATTCTTGTCACCCCTCTCAGCTCCTCTGCAGACCCCCTGTTGTCTCTTCTGTGGGTAAAGGTCAGCGGGTGGGGCAGAGGGCATGGGTAGGGCGGGGGGACTACCTGCCAGAGGAAGTAGATTGCCAGGAAGATCTGCAGTGGCGCTGACCACAGCAGGTTGAGGGAGGAGACGATGTCCATGAGGCGCTGTGCGTCCACCGACATCAGATTGACCATCTCCCCCACGGTGAACTCGCGTCGGGCAGAGTTGCTGATGAGCAGGGTCTGCGGGGCCAGGGTGGGGGAGCTCGGGTTAGGGACTCGGCCTGGAAGGGCCCCCTCTCCGCTGTGTCCCCGCCACCCCCGCCCCGGCTGACCTTCCTGTAGATGATTCCTCGGAGCCCTGTCCGCAGCCGCAGCCCAATGGTGAAGACCAGGTGGAAGTATTGGTTCACGACCAAGATCTGCATCACGGAGCACAGGAACATCAGCACGGCCACCAGGTAGCCGATCCAGCTGGGGGCCGTGGGGTCCGAGATGAACCCGATCAGGACACTACAAGGGAGGGAGAGAGGCGTGAGACGGGCGCCCCCAGCCGCTCCCCTACTGCCCTCCTCTTCCTCCCTCCGCCTCTGATCCCTCTGGGAGTGTGGAGGTGGGGGTGGGGGTGCTGTCCCCGTGCCCCATGTCCCCTCCACACCTAGACTCTCCGTCCTTGTCCTTGCTCCATCCTCCCTTCACCTCCCTTCCGCGGACCCCCATCCCTCCTTCACCAGTTGTTTTTTGTGCTCTTGGACTTCGTGGCAGGAGTGACGGCCACAGGTAGGAGGGTTAGGCCTCCCCATACCTTCTCTGGGACACCCCCCCCCCCGCCCCTCAGCCTTCCAATCCGTTCTATCAGCGCTTCATCTGAGCTGCCTCTGAGCCTCTCCAAGCCCTCCCGCTCTCTCTCCTCTTTCCTCCTCTCTCTCCCTCTCGGAACCCACCTCAGTGTGGCCACGCTCTGACCCCCACTCAGCAGCACCCTACCTTCCCCGAACTCCGCTCTGGCCTCCGAAACAGGCTTCTCCCTCCTTGCCCTCCCCCACCCCCCAGATCTCAGCAGCCACCTCTTCCCCCGCCCCCCTGCTGGGAATTGTTATGCCCCATCTCTCTTCGACCCCCCCCCCCCCACAACAGCTCTGCAGCAGAAATTGCATTTCTTCTGCTGGGGGTGGGGGGAGGAAGGGGTCCCCTGCCAACAGATGCCTTCAAGTGCTGGCCCTGGGAGCCAGGCATGTGTCTCTCTTGCAAAGAGGGTCTTTGTAGGTATGAAAGTTAAGTAAGGCCAGAGCGATAGTATAGCAGGTGGGGCGTTTGTCTTGCATGCGGCCCACCCAGGGCATCCCATGTCCCCAGAGCACTGCCAGGAAAAACTCCTGAGTGCAGAGCCAGGAGTAAGCCCTGAACATCGCCGGGTGGAGATCCAAAAAAGCCGAAAATAAAAAAAGATGGATAGGGCGCGTTGCTCATGCATACTGGATAAAGGAGGGCTGAGAGCTGGACAAGGAGGAAGTGGTATGGTGACAAGCCCGAGGCAGCAGGAGGAACTGGTGGGGACAGAGCACATCCTCCTTCCAACCTTCCCGAAGACGCTAGCCCTCAGCTCCGGGGTAGAGGCAGTGTTTGAAGCCACCTCACCTGTGGCCACTGGTGACAGCCATTGTGGGAATGATATCAACTTCCTTTAATGGGGCACAGCGAGACCCCCTTGGCCCTGGCTCCTCATGAGAAGACCCCCCCAGCGGGCTGGAGCAATAGCACAGTGGGTAGGGCATTTGCCTTGCACACGGCTGACCAGGGTTTGATTCCCAGCATCCCATATGGTCCCCCAAGCACCGCCAGGAGTGATTCCTGAGTGCAGAGCCAGGAGTAACCCCTGAGCATTGGCTGGGTGTGACCCAAAAAGCAGGAAAAAAAAAGAGAAAGAAGAAGACCACCCAGCCTAACTTGTGGCAGAGTTGCTAACTGATGCCAAGTGTCGCCTTGCCCATTAGCCTGCCGGCAGCCACACCCTGCAGGAAGTTTTCTCGGGGTGCTGCTCCCCACTGTGGGTTTCCAGTTTGGCTCCGACCCCTCCAAGTCTGTCTTCTGCTCCTGCCTTCCTTGTCCTAAGGCCCCAGGGCTCTCTGGGAGTGCTCACCAGAGCAGGCCCTGCAAATTGCAAATGTGAGCTCCAGCTTGGTATCTCCCCACAGGGGTGCCCTCCCGCTCACCGTCTTTTTTTTTTTTTTTTTTTTGCTTTTTAGATCACACCCAACAATGCTCAGGGGTTACTCCTGGCTCTGCACTCAGGAATTACTCCTCGTGGTGTTTGGGGGATCATATGGGATGCTGGGGATCGAACCCGGGTCGGCCACGTGCAAAGCAAACACCCTACCCGCTGTGCTATCGCTTCAGCCCCAGCTAACCACCTTGTGCTGAGTTCAGCCCCTAAGCTGAAACTCCATCACTGCTACTCCCCCAGGACAGCCCAAGACCCTGGCTGCTCCCTGCCACCTGCTCTGCCCCCATCTCCCAGCGGTGTATTCTCTACTCTGGCCTCAAGCCTCCTTTCTTTTCTTTCTTTTTATTTATTTATTTATTTTTTGCTTTTTTGGGTCACACCTGGCAAAGCACAGGGTTACTCCTGGCTCTGCACTCAGGAATTACACCTGGGGGTGCTCAGGGGACCATATGGGATGCTGGGAATCGA